GTTACTAAGTGCTCTGGTTACAGTTACGTTTTATCTTGTAGCATCTTAGAAATTCCTCATTTGGGTAGAATTTCTCCTAGAAATGGTCAGAAAGACCTGGAATAGTACTAAATACAATCATATTCGTGTCCTTCTTTTGCCAAGCACTGAAAGAAGTAAAGTTAAGAGACAAGTTTTCCTTAAACTTGAAATGACAGTAACCATCTGACTTTGAAATGAAGCCTGGGCCTCAGCATGTAAGGGGCGGGGCACGTAGCCTCCACGTGGTATTTGATGGTCTGTATGTAACAGTGAGGTTTGCTGCTCAAAGGGCTTAGGAAGAACTTAGACTAAAAAAATCTTAGAATAACTTTTTTTTTGGGGGGGGGGGCAATGGAGAGTGTGAATTGTTTCTATGTAAACACGGTCAACAAATTGACGGCTCAACACCATAATCCCATTTAGTCTCTGTGCAAATTTCACTTACTTAACAAACCTCTTAGTGCATGAACCTGATCCACAAAACAACTACCTCCATGAGCCAAAAAAGGTAATGACTAGTTTCCACTTGGCATACTTTCGCTTTTTAAAAATATTTTTACGCAAATAAAACGTGCATGCTAACTAGTCAGATGTCCAAAAAAAGCTTCTGATGAAAACCAACTCCTTCCCTGTCTCACTTTCTAGAAGTTGTAGTCATTCTGGCCCCAGGGTTCCTTTAAGGTTCTGATGGGCCAATCAATGCTTCCACCATAGATGTTCTTTGTATTACCTTCTGGGAGCACTGTGCTCTCCTCTCGCCTTTTTATTAGTATACTTTTTTCATCTTCTAGAGGTTAATCATTTGCTGGCATTAACAGGTAATCAATAAATATTTGAGCGAATGAAGTCTTCTTTCTTTTATAATATCCTTGATGGTACTTACTTGTTCTTTTCTAGTAATAAATCCCAAAACTTACCCAGGATATTTCTAGTCTGTTCTTTGGCCCTTATATCAGTTCTCTATTGGTTCTTAATTTTTTTACTCAATTGTGATTTCTTTTTAACCTGAAGACTTTCAACTCGAACTGCCAAAGATAGCCCAGAGGTAGTTTCTATGAGGAATCCACATGAAGAATGAAATTGTTCATAAGTGTAGCAGCAGAAAGCATGATAATGAAATTCTAACAGGGAATTCCAATAGGGGTCAATTAGGGCAGGCTGGCAGCAATGTGAGCTGGTGACGTGCACCCCCCACCTGGTAGCTGATTTACTGCTGCCATCCATGCTTTCTGAGTCCTGTCATATTACAGGATGACAGATGAGAATTAAGAGCTTGTCACATACATGTTTGCTTAAAATAGTGCAGAACCATAGTATTTCTGAGGTTCACCTGGCTATGTTCCAGGTGTGTGTAAACACACCGGTAATATAGACAGCTGTACAGGGCATCATGAGACACCATGTTTTCTCATAGGTCAGCTCTGGAGTCATTGCATAACACTGCATGCTTTCCTTATGGTTTCTCTGTACAGGATAACAAATATGTTGAAGGGTGATATTTATAAAGAATTTTCAGCCCCAGATTCTAGTCAAATGCAAAACTGTTGCAGAGTATCGACAGACTATGTTCTGGTATTTTTGGAATGATAATTTGGAAAATGGTGATTTCTCCTATGCATGACATTTTTGCAATTTCTATATACTTTCCAAACTACTAAACTGGTTTTTCAAGCTTGCTTTTCTGTATGTTCTTCATGAGTAGAGTATTATATCTTTTTTATACTTTACAAATAAAATAGACTGTATGTATGAAAAAGCTAACATTTTTTGTGGAAATAGAAGCATAAAATATTTTTCATAAAGACAACCTTGGTATAAATATATATATATATATATATATATATACACACACACATATATGTATATATATAAAATGATTTATAAATTTATATGTAAATTATAATATAACATATAACTTATATATAATATAAAATACATATAACATTTTTATATATAATTATAGCACTGAAATGGGACAGATTTAAATATATATATGTGTGTGTGTGTGTGTGTGTGTATGTATATATATATATATATATATATATATATATATATATAATTTTTAAATCTGTCCCTAGTATATGTTAAAGGATAATTCATTCTCCTTTTGTTTATGAAGCATTCCTTTACCCACTTGGGATAGGAGAAGTAGGTCAGAGTGGCTCTACCTATCCTAGTTACTCTGTCTGTCCCTGTCTGTGCCTGACCTGGAGAAAGAACCCAAGGAGATTAGATCAAGATGGAACACTAGCCTCATACGCCAGCCTTCCAGAAATATTTTGAAATAACAGGAAAGATATGTGTGCATTTTCCATAGCAGAGCCTGGAAAATAAGAAAGGCTGATCTCAGCCGGCCAGAAACTATTAAAAACATTTTTTGAGGCAAAGAGCAAATGTGAAACAACTGAAGTTGAAAACCATACTCCAAAACATGGGCAGAACAATGGAAGGAAGAAGTGATGGATTAAAGATTGCTCCAAGTTTAGTGGCTGTGGATATACTGGGATTAGGCGAAGACCCAAACAACCATCCAGGTGATCTTATAGAACTGCAAGATGCCCAGTGTCTTTCCAGTAAATTCAGAGTCAACTTTTATTGTTTGCAACCAAGAATTCTGCTTGGTGCTCTCACATTGCTATGGTAAACTGTATTCATGATGATATTTATAGTATACCGTTTAAATTTCCTATACTCTTAGGATTTTTACTTGGGACCCTGGCTTGGTTCTTGGGCCCAAACCTACAAAGTCACTGCTCTCACAGGGCAAGGGAAAGGAGGCTGGTGGATTGCCTGCCTATTTCTGTTTACTGCTTCAAAAATGCTGGGAAACTGGCTCAGGAATTGGTGGGGGCCACTTTATAAATTCTGCCTGCCACAGAGTCCAAGTAGAATTTTATAAGACCTACATGAAAAAAAAGCATAAACCTTCCTTGAAGGCTATAAAAGAAAACCATATAAGATATCATCCTCCCCAGTTCTGTCAATTAAATTTTATTCATCAGATTCCCAACAGAATTGTTCATTAAATTGGCAAGCTGGTTCTAAACTTCCTCTAGTAGAGAAAAATGCCTAAGAATTGGCAAAGATAATTTTGAAAAAAAGAATCAACAAATTAAACTAAACTCATTACAATCTTAGAGGATTGGTCCAGGAATAATTCATGGAATTGAATGAGGGTTCATTTAGTAGATGATAAAGTTGTTTCAAATCCAAAGAAATGATGGCCTTCCTGGTGAGAGATGGTGCAGTTGTCTATCCATTTTGAGACAAATTAGGCCCTTATCACAAGTACAAAAATAACTTCCAGACAGAGTGAAGAGCTAAATATATTAAGTAAAATTGTATTAGAAGCACTTAGTAGAATTTGCTCATTAAATTTGGGTTAGAGAATGCCTAATCCAAATGCTAGGAAATGCAATTGATTAGTAAGCACATATATGATAGAGCAATTACCCCCCCTCCCTTTTTGCTCAATCAAATTGGAAAAATTTTGTTCAATCCAAATGTTGGCAAGGGTGTGGAAAAACACACTCTTATTGAATGAATTGTAATGGTCTTTTTGACAGTGCCCATTGTAATTTTAAGTATGCATATCCTTCAAATGAGTAATTTCCAGATTTTTACCCTAGCTGAAGGCATAGGTACATGAGCACAAAGACATGTTTATTAGCTGTAGCATTGTTATTATGCCAACAACCTAAAGATCTATCATGGAAGTGCTTTTTGTTTATAAATCTAATGGGTTTTGAAAAGGGACCAGTTAAGTTTATCCAACATAAGTTAGAGGAAAACAAAATACCTATGGGATTTGACATACGAATCATTTTCTCGCAGTGTGTGCTTTTATCACCTATTTTATTATACATTTAATCAAAACATTTCCCTTATGTTAGAAATTCATTTTCTAAAAGCAGTGCAATATTGAGTACTCACCCTACGGGAGTGAGCATGCAACCTGAAGTCTCTGAGGGAAAATGCAACTGAACAGAGCCCTACTTCATTAACACAATATGTGACTTCTTGGGGGGCTTTTTTTTTTTTTTAAACTATCCTGTTATATCTGCCAGTGATGGGGCAAAAGAAAGGAACCATATATATCTGTATGTGTACCATCGAAATGGATTATTGTCAAGATTAATGTGGTATGTGGAATAGTGCTTGCTGATTAAATGTTTCTCTCTTATGTGTGAATAATTGGTATTTAATCTATTTAGCGGTTGCCAACCGGTGGTCCTCGGACCACTGGTGGTCCATGAGGTCAAAAAGGTTGGCGACCGCTATTAAATCAGATGATAAGAATCTTAATTTAAAGACTCTGTATACGTTTGTAGTGGGAGAGGGAGAAGAGAGATTAGATTTTTAGGTAGGTGTCAGCATTTACAAAGCAGCCAAGGGGAATGTTTCCTTTGTTTTTGCTTTTATGAAAGAGATACCCTAAGATATTTTCACTAGGGCCTTTCAGAACATTAACTTTGACGTCTTTAATCTATGGGTTTATTAGTTGAGGTTTGAAAATAAAAGCTTTGGCTATTGTTATTTAAATTTTACTAGTATATATATCTTCTGTATTGGTTGTGAGAGTAACACTGGAGGTGAAAATTGCTTTTTAAAGTGAAAGAGTTGTGGGATTTTAACCAAAATAAGTGTGTTTTTTAATGAATTTATTAGATGCTCTTTATATAAATGATTCTTTATTAAAAGAATTTTGTCCTGAAGAGAATTTACAATACCACAAGAAAATATGTTTATATTAATTTAAAATCCACTACAATTTTAAGATTGTTTTCCAAGGCAATTTCTGTCATACACATGACTTAAAAACTCCTTTTTTTTCCCTTTGTAACTAAGGGAACTGTGGGTTAATAAAATTGTTCCTGTTGTGAGCAAAGCTAATAAAAGATGAGGACTGACTGTATCCCACTGAGAATAACAAAACACCTTGTTAAATATAAAAATAAAACTGTGAATTATTTTTGTAGAAGTCAACGAGAGGTTCCGTTGTCCTTGACCACGTATTTCGTCACATAAACCTCGTGGAGATTGATTATTTTGGGCTGCGTTACTGTGACAGAAGCCATCAGACAGTGAGTACAATGATTTCGTATTAAATGTTTCTGGTTATAACTTTCACTCTATCTCTGGCCTTTCCTGTGTGGTTTTAGGTAGTTAGGGTCCTTGTAAATGAAAATGACTTTGAAAACCTTAAACATGTTTTCCCTGGCTAATTTCTTTGCATTTCTCCCCAAAAGTCTGTAGAGTTGCAGGGTTCACAACTCATATGGTAGCCCTCCTCTTTACAGATGCTTACCTGGTTTCCACTTTTGCAACCATATCGAGTACTTTTCAGCCCTAGCTTGTTTGGCTCAGTGGATAGAGCATCAACCTGTGGACTGAAGGGTCCCTGGTTCGATTCCGGTCAAGGGCACATGCCCAGGTTGTAGGCTCGGTCCCCAGTAGGGGGTGTGCAGGAGGCAGCTGATTAATGATTCTCTCATCATTGATGTTTCTCTCTCTCTCTCCTCCCTTCCTCTCTGAAATCAATAAACATATATATATATATATTTTTTTAAAGAGTACTTTTCATTTGTGCTGTTAAGGACTAAATAAACCAGTGAATGTGTTAGGAGGCAACTGGCTGGTCTATTGAAGTGACAGATATTATTGCCCTTTAAGAAAGCGAATGGTTAAAGAGAAGAAATATATACAGTGTAAAAAGGTGACTAAGTTTCAGGAGTTGGATGAGCAATTATAAAATAAGTAAGGGTGTTCATTCATGAGCTTGATGGATTATGAGTAATAAAAGTAACCAAGCTTTTGGTGTCTGATGCCAGTTGTTCACAAGGATTTAATTCAGAACTTATTCCTGGCTCTTGGATGATGCTTATATTACCAGAAAGGGGACCTGGCCCTGAGTGGGTCTGCCTAGGGCCGGCCAGTAGTTTGTGGGTTCTTGACTTTGTGCAGGAGAAATTTCATAGCACAAATCCAGGTGAGTTTTAGAAGATGGGTATTAAAGCTGGGGACGGTGAAACAAGGAAGGCCTGGGGAAATGAGCCTAGGCTGGGCTGCTTTGGCTCAGTAAGAAGTCAGAGAAAAGGGGGTTTTTGGGGCAGGTTCAGGAGGTTTGCCTGAGGTGAACTGTCACTGCCTGCTGCTGCCCTGGTTGTAAGCCTGTGGGGTCCCTAAGCATTTAGGAAATGCATGCCTGTGGGGAAAGATGGGAGGGGAGGGGGAGAGGCTGGGGTGTGCTCCTGGGAGAAAGAGTTTGGCAGTGCCCGTTGTAATTTTAAGTATGCATATCCTTCAAATGAGTAATTTCCAGATTTTTACCCTAGCTGTAGGCATAGGTACATGAGTACAAAGACATGTTTATTAGATGTAGCATTGTTATTATGCCAACAACCTTCGCTTTAAGGGGTTTTAAAGGCTGGGCATTTAGGGGAAGTTTTGGGGGAGGATCTCAATAGAATATTCATCGGCTTTATGCTGATGTACCAGAATAAGGTTTATTCTCTTAACTTCATCTTGGGTGTGGTTGGCAAATGGCACTAACTGGATTTCTGCTGTCTCCCTGAGTACGGCGATTTAAACTATTTACCCTCTAGTTGGGGAGAAGTGCAAACCATTTACTCTCAAGTGTCCCTGGTTTAGGAAAGAAAGAATTTACTAGATGGCTCCAAACTACTGTTTCTTTCTTAAAAAGAAAAAAAAAATTGTTGATTTCAGATAGGAAGAGAGAGATAGAAACATCAATGATGAGAGAGAATCATTGATTGGCTGCCTCCTGCACGCCTCCTACAGGGACTAAGCCCAAAACCCAGGCATGGCCCTGACAGGGAATCGAACCGTTTACCTCCTGGTTCATTGGTCAGCGCTCAACTCAACCACTGTTTAACTATCTGCCTCAATTTCTCTGTTCCACTTGTTCTGGCTTACTGGCCTGTCTCAGAGAGTTACAGAAACTCACTGCATTGGGTAGTATTGATTCTATATGGTTATAAGGCTCAGAAGCTGTTAAACAGAGGAGAGACTTTGGAGGTCATGATTTAGAGGTACACAAGGATATTTATTAGTGACTTTTGTTTTAGTCTAAGAAAGATCTTAACCTCAGATAGACACAGTCTTATGCAAAATGCTTATGCTCACCTTAAAAATACCCCCATTTGACTTACCTTTTATTTTTCATGCTGCTTACCTCCTGTTTGAATAAAGTTTTCCTCTTCTTCCTTCATCAGTTCTTGCAGCCTCCACTTGGTCATCTGGGGTCTATTCAGTGAGGAACATACTTGCTGGGTGGTGTTTCCCTCCCAGGTCCCAGGAATGTGCTAGGGTGAGAGGAGGCAGGCAAATGGAATGTTATTGATGGTGATAAGTTGTGATCTTTTTTTGAGCTGGCTCCATAACTTGTTCTGTTTCATACGGGTGTTTCACAAGATAGGAATAAAAAATTGGGTGTGTTGGTTAGCTTTCCACAGAAAGGAATGGCTTTCTGAAGGCAAGCGGTCATGAATGCATACTTTAAAGAAAGGAAATGGCATATTCAGAGTTCACTGAATTCTGTCCCATACAGGCGATACGTCAATATAGCAGAACTATAAATCTATACTGAAAGATTAGATTGAAAGCCATAGAAGATATCTTGCATGACATTCATATTCTTGAAATAACATTTTTCCTAGCACAAAAATAAAATACAGTTTTCTGATCTTATCTCGTATGTCAGACCTTGCCTGGAAAGACTGTCTTGCTAAAATTATGTAGACCTTATCTGTCTTTTCTCCCCCCCGCCCCCTCTTTCCAAAGGGGGAAAAATGTGAAAAGCTAGAGAATTTCAAACAATGGCCTGTATCACTACAAAATGAATGAGCAGTTGGTATTGATAGTTTAAAGTTTTCCAGGGCTTCTATTAAGACCAAAAAAAAGGTGTTTTTTTTCTTACTTTTACTCCTGAAGTTTGTCATTTGTGATAGTGTTTGTAATACATGTTTTAGGAGAAAACAAATTACACAATTAGAGAGGGAATGCTTGTAAGTAATTTTTTTGATCAGGTGTGTAAATCACATGGAAAAATGATTTTTTACCTCCTGAAATATTTTCTGGTGAACTCATGAAACAGAGGTGATTTGTGAACATGCATAGTCTTTGCACGTTCAATGCCTGGTTGTTTAATGTTCCTTTTAGTTGTGGGAAGGTGTGAGAATAAGGCCTTTCCTCCAGGTAACCTTTCATCAGAGCGCACAGTTCCGGAGGCCTGAGTGCGTGCAGGTAGGAACACACGAATCCATTCCCAACTCACTTCTCACGGGGACTGAGATAGAACTTAAGGATTTCTCTGAGGAAAAGCTCAGGCAGGCTTTCCACTCTGGAATGGCAACCACCCAAGGCCCAACTTTAAGTTTCTAGGGAAGTTGGTGATAAACTCAAATTCATATTTCCTTGTCTTCTCTCTATATTAGTAGGAGCAGCCCTGCATAACCCATAGTTACTTAATGTACTAGTAAATATCCCATAGTTACTTATGGTAAATAGGAATTTAAAGAATATCCTATGTTGGAATGCACAGAACATAGTAAAAAAATTTGCCTTAAAACTAGAGTAATGAATTTCATAAATTCATAGTGTCCATTCGAATGGGTTTTGTATATTGCTCTGCTCTTTTTCAGCACCCAGAAGTTTATTTTTAATGGGGAATGCCTGTGTATAATTAAGATCTACATAGAGAAGACTTTGAGGCTCTTAGAAGTACCACTTAGGTCGACTCTTGAGATACATAAAAAGAGAAAGTGAGAGAAGGGGCTCTGGGGATAAAAGGGAATAAAGAGCCCTAGCCTGTTTGGCTCAGTGGATAGAGTGTAGGCTAGTAGACTGAAGGGTCCCGGGTTCAGTTCCGATCAAGGGTGCATGTGGGAGGCAAGCAATCAGTGTGTCTCTGATGTTTCCCTCTGTGTCTCCCCCTCCCTTTCACTTTCTCTAAAAATCAGTGGAAGAAATATCCTCGGGTGAGGATTAACAAACAAACAAACAAAAGATAACAAGGGAAGAAGAGATGACTCACTTGCAGTGAAAACCCTAGGGCCTAGGCTCTCTCTTCCATTAGCAAAGGATCATGCCTGAGGCTATGCCCCAAACCCTGGTGGGGGTGGGAAGGGAGGGTGGGATTGAGGAACCTGCAGCACTAATAGTCAGCCAGTTATGGCCAAAATATAAGCAAGTGAGCTGGACTGGCAGTGGCTGAAGGGTCAGGGAGGGCTTTATGGCCACGTTGGAGATTTAGTGCATATTGCCTGAGAAGATAGGCAGCTATCCTAGAGAACTGGAGAGCAATATGCCTGATGACAGATGGACAGATGTCTATCTCTAGGACAGATGGATCAAGCATGGCAGGGAACTTCTCTGCCCCAGAGGATCTAGACCAGGGGTGGGCAACCTTTTTGTGAGTGTGTGCCAAAACCAGCAAAATCTCTGACTCAAAATTCTTCTGTGTGCCAACCCTAATTTTTTGAGAACATGTTACGCCTACTTGATATCTCTTAAGGTGTACGTATGTGAAGAACCTTGAAGAAATAATAAAATTCATTTGAGCGACAAAAACACAGTATATGATGATGAAAAATACATTTATTTTTTAATGTATACATGTACACTGATAGTCCGATAGAAAACTTTATGATTCCGTTTGATATTATCAGTGGGACTTTTGCTGCTGCATCACTGATGACAGAGATTTTACATCAGGTTTATATTTCGTGACCTTCAGAGATATGCAGGCGCTACTACTTTCATCCGTCAGGCTACTCCTATTATGAGACTTAACAAAATTCATCACTGAGAACAAAGATTCACAAGCGTATGTGGATGAAAACATGGAGAGTAACGCTGTTGCAAAGTTTTTTAAACTGAAAAAAATTTCTGGAATGGCATTCCAAGTCCTCAATAGTTCGTTTTCGACACTTCTCTCTGGTACTCCTGTCTCTAATCGCTTTTTAAAAATGTTTTCCAAGTCAACTTTAAGGTTAATAAATTTCTGCTTCCAAATTGAGCTACTCTGAAATTCAATCAACTGCATTTCAAAGTCAGCCATGTC